TTTGAAAATTAGTAGCTACTTGCTTTACATGGAAAAGGCAGGCCAATAAAATTCAAGATAGAAATTCTTTTGCAATGAAAGGTTATGTAACGACTCAAGCACATATTGTTCACTATGATATTACGATCCAACCATAAAAATCACAATTTACAATTACATCAGCAACCTCTGGTTTGGTAACCATTCATGATAGGAATGCCTTCGCTCCAAAAACAAAACTACCATCCAAAAATTCAGTTTTTGAAGCCTATCTAATCGCATTCACTTAAACAAAACTAATCCACATATACTATAAAATAAGGCTGAATCCCTCGGATTAAACTATAAAATAGTTGCAGCCTATATTTGTTTTCCATATTGCATACAATTGGCACAGTTTCCATGTCTCAAATGATTTAGGCCCCAGCAGAAGACTGAGGAAGGCCAGTAAATAGGTGGCTTCCAATATAATCATGACTTCAAGTAAACAGCATTTCAGATATGACGCAAATGTCTAGTACAGCAAGCTACAAATGAATGTATAAATCAATTATCCATGCACACCCACAAGAATAGATATGTAAATACAAAAAGTTCTAGTGTTGAACATGAAATATACAATAGAATTAAGTAATAACAACTGGTAACTGCAACAGAACTTACATGTCGATGACAAGTTTAATAAGCACACTCACAGCCACGTCCATTGATGGCTTTCCACTGTTATTACTTAATCTAGATGATACAGTGAAATTATTAGCACTTGGTGAATATGTCTCTGAGCTAACTGCAGCAATAACCTCGCATACCTCAGCAGGATTCAGACGTAAAGGTTGCTGTTCACTAAATTACATTGAAAAGGAAAATATGAGAGGAACATGGGAATGGTAAAAGCTTATGATTTAAGCTTCTATTCTTGAATGTAAACAACAGTTATATCCAAACAAATCACTTCCATAATCTACAATGTTAAAAAAGCAAATGAAATGGCAGGGGTCAAATGCAATACCATAAATACCAAAGAGGAACATTGAGAGGTATTTTCAATCCAAAGCCAGACACCAGAAGCACCAATAGAAAATTGTTGATTTTATATTCACACACACACATTCCAATTGGTCTTAGAACACAGGTTGAAGTTTCAGATTCAACTTCAAAAGATATTATGCATTTATGAACTATTAGAAGTTACAAAACACGCACGCACACACACACACACACACACACACACACACAAACATATATATATACATATATATATTAAAGCAGTATTATTGGTGAGGCCTTTTCTTTTCATTTGCTTTCACATGTAATTTTTTTTTTTTTTTACTTGATTATCTAACCCAATTGAGTGAGGAAGTCTTATCCTCCACTCCCTGTCCTCTAATTTTCTGCCTGTTGAATGGGTGGGTTTTTTTTTTTTTTTTTTTTTTCCGTCTAATTTTACTGCCTGTGATGGGGTGGTTTTTTCGGTTTTTTTTTTTTTTTTTTTTTTGGGGGGGGGGGGGGAGGGGATGTTGGACTGGAAGCTACACCATAGAAAAAGAAGCACTCACGAAAAAACTATGTGCATGTATCATTGAAAAATTTTTTTGCAGATATAAGTATACAGGCTTGCCAAGAGAAGAAAATGGGTTCCTTTAATCATAAATGACCTATAAATGTTCGAAAAAACAAAAAGAACGAAAACGGGGGGGGGAGGGGATGTTGACTGGAGCTACACCTAGAAATAGAAGCACTCACGAAAAACTATTGCATGTATCATTGAAAATGCAGATATAAGTTCATACAGCTGCCAAGAGAAGAAAAAATGGTTCCTTTAATCATAAATGACCTATAAATGTTCGAAAAAACAAAAAGAACGAAAACCAGAGCCATCTAAATCGCAAGAGGACCATAAATGACAATCTCCCCTTCTGTACCTGTAGTGACGATACTGGAAAAGAGGTCGAGCACGTGTGCGGAATGTGCTTGCTGGAGAATCCTCCCTGCCAAACAGGAATAAAAATAGTTGAGATGCTACTAAATTTCCAAACTATATAAAATTGAAATGCACGGACATCTTAATTATCATAATGTTTCAGGAAAAGCTTTAATTTTATGATAACTAGACATGCAAACAGACTAATGTAAAGAAAATGTATTGCAGAATGACCCATTAACATATCGTAAAATAAATACGTATGAAATTTTTGGTTTTGTTTTCATCCTTTTTTTTTGCCTGTATTCTCCTCTTGTCAATAGTTATATCATATATATCTGGTGTAAATTGTACTAATAGACAATTTTCTTTACCATTTCATGACACATTTTCTTAGTCGTTTCTTAATGTTCTATCAAGTCTACAGTTCTTGCTATTGATTAGGAAAAATCAAATGAACTTTTCCCAAGTATTATTCTATCTTCTTCCAGCTCATGATTCATTCATGTACAAATGTAAAAAAAAGAGAAAGAGAAAAGAAAAAGGATGGACTGAAGTTGATAAGGAAACAATAACTATTCCCATATTGATTTGACTCAATTGCTGTTATTAACTGTTAAAAGAAGGCACATTGCAAGTCAAATTTGGATGGTCTAAAATAAACCGATATCATGAGTATTCTTCCCAACGCTGAATTTCACGCTCAAATAAATCTAACAATTCTCAGACAGAACAGAAGAGCCCAGGTGTGCTAAAGGTAAAGACTAAATGATAACAACCATCGCATCACTTTTCAAGTTGAGCCAAAGTTGCTTTAATATCTACTATCACATGAAGACCATAAAATGAAAAGGACAATCTCTTATCTTAGCACAAAATGAGTCACCATTTATCCGTTTAGAGATGAAATAAATTAATGCACGAATGGGAAAAAGTAATCTTAAAAATGGAACAAATTCTCCAAGCATAGCAAAACAGTAATATCAGTTAGAAGAACATACCAAATTTGGCGAGGTCCTGCTTTACTGCGTTTACATGCTGTTATTGCCCTCAGATGGGGTCGAGCAGAGGCTGAATTAGTAATGGTTGTAAATGATGAGGGCTGCAATAGTTGATCAAGATAAGGCATATCAGCAGTTCTGAAATATTTCCAAGGCTGACCCATTATTTTGGCTTCCATGTCTCCTACCAGTAGAGCTGCAGCACCTAATTCTAGGAAATTACGCGTGCTCATATCTTGAAGGTCCACAGAACGACCACTGTATTATAAAACAGGATGAGAATTCAGTTGAACTCTTTTAGCGTCTTGTGACAACATTACATAAACAACCAACTTCTATTGCAAAATGAAAAGTTAGATGAAGAAAAAAAGGCAAAGAAACTATTACTTTTCAGCTGAGAGAAATGACAAAGGATGTTCCCCAACCCAACGCCATTTTAAAACATCACCTGCAATGTAATCCAGGTCCTCTCTTGTAACAACTGTTTCCATATTTGATAAGTTCGAAACAGGTAAGATGGCAGTATCTTTTTTCTCCGAAGATTCTCCACTACTTGCAGGGCTTAACTGGGAATTAAAGGATCTACTCAACAAAGATGACAATGACGGAAGAGACTGCCTTGATGCAGAGAGAGCTCCAGCAAAAGCTGCTGGTTGGAATGATCGCCTTGGAACATGTTTAGCTACTAGAGAACGTACATAATTTAATGACTTTACAAGTGCACCGGAAGCAAAACTGGATACAGGCAGAGAAGGTGAAGAATTTGTAGAAGCTGTGGATGGAACAGATTGTTGATTCAGAGATCGTGACCATGGTGACAACCGTCTATTCGGGCTAATATTGCATTCAGCAATTGTGCACACACAAAATCGATCAATCTGAAGTAATGTCTCCTCACTGGGTTTATATCTGCAGCAAAATAATATTAAAACTCATAAAAACCTAACAATATAATCTAGCAGAGCTGACTACTATCAAGTGATACACATGGAAAGACATCAATTGCCTGCTCAATGCACAAATGACATGGAAATAAATAAATAATTAAAGTATCATTGACCCTCTAAAGGATCAGATTTAGTACGTGGGCTCCAATGAGTTATTTAACACCAAGATGATAGCAAAAAAAGAGAACCTGTCCTTCTCCCCAAATACCAAAAAAACTGATACAAAACTGCAGTAAAAGAAGCTTTCATTTGATTGACTAGAAACCCATGGGAAACCATCAAGACAACACAAAACATTACATATTATGACAAGTTGCGAGACCAATGTGAGGGAGAAGTATTCCAAGCATCAATATCAGTTTATATCACATTCTATTAGGACAGGTCCAAGTAACAGTCATGCAGGTTGACTTAGCCAAAAGAATACAAAAGAAAATTTATAGAAAACCAAAATCTTAAAAACAAGTAGCAGAAACACCTCTATGAAAAAAATGAAGAGCTAAACATAGACAAATTAAGCATTATTTGGCTTTGTACTAAACCATACATAGTTCATGAAACATAAATTGGCTCATTAACTATCAAATCTAAGGGATAAGTACAATGATATCTCCAAGGAACGTGTTAGAAATCTCTGAACTGAATATCAATAAGTATGAAAAGCAGAAACCCAGCTAAATGTAATGAATTCTAAATTTAACCTCTTCTAAGGCCACAAAAAAGCAAGAGCTGCTTCACTATAGATCATTGCAGACATAATAAAATTTGAACAAATTTGGGTGTTTTAGTCAAGGCACTGATATAAATATAATAATATAAATATAATAACGGAAGAAAGGCTAATGTCAAACTATAGGGTAAAAAATTATTCTTTAATATAGGCAACTCTAAAACAATATATATAAGGGAAAATTACTATTTAGTCCCTGAGGTTTTGACCTAATTTACTAACTTATTCCTCTGCTTTGGTAAACCCTATGAGTAATCCTCAAGGTTTAGCTCCATTGGACAATTTCATCATTCTGTTTAAAACCAGGCATTTTCACCATTAAATATCAGTAAAAAGACCACACTACCCTTTATATGATAAAAATACAAAAATTCCCTTGTCCACTAATTTACTAATCCTCCATATCTCCATCTCTATATCTCTCTTCTATGGGTATCCATCTCCATGTCTATTTTTCTCTATCTTTCATCTCCATGTCTTCTTTTTTCAAAATTGATTAGATTTTGCAATGGGTATCCAATTGAGGATGGAGTGGATAATAGAAATAGTTGAACAGCCAACTAAATCAATATCAAAAACTCTAAAATCTCTTGAAAACTCAATTGTGAAAAGAAGTTTAAAAATTAATAAATAATAATAACCCAACAACTGCAAAAGCTGTGATCCTTGAAAATATTATTTTCCCAATTCAAAACAAAATCTAAATATTATAGACTTCACAATACAACCAAGTACAACCAAGGTTCAGAATTGGGATCAGTATGCAGCTCCTTTCTTACATCACAAGTTTAGTATACTCATTGCCCCCATTTCATCTCATTTATCTTGACCTGTTTACCAAAAATTAATAATAAAATAAAACAAAAATAGATCTAAGTCTATGGTCTAAACATGCAAAGAATAAAAGATATCTCTCCAGCCCACGCCATCAATGATAAGATAGTTTTTCTTTCTGGCTTCATCCGGAAAATGGTAATGATGGGCAAATAAATCAATTCTAGGGGATTAATTTCACCCATTGTTCATCTGTGCGGCCATAGAATGACGCACTGCCAGAATACCTGCTCCCCATCCAGCAGAAGCTTATGGCATAGGATGCTCCAAATGAGGAGCAAACTGAACTCCAGTGTATGGATGAGCAGGGGTTCCAACTGAATGAACAGGATGCTGTTGCCCAAGAATAGAAGGTTTCGGTTAGTGGAGATGTAAAAGGAACAAAATGGAGAGGGATACCCATAGAAGAGAGAGAAAGATAAAGATGGAGATAGGAGGATTAGTGGGTTAGTGGACAAGGCATTTTTGTATTTATATTATACAAAGGAAAATGCAGTCTTTCATTGTTATTTAATGGTGAAAGTCACTTTTTCTAACAGAAGGATAAAATAGTCCAATGAAGCTAAATCTCAGGGACTACTTATAGAGTTTACCAAAATAGAGGGATGAGATAGTAAATTAGGTCAAACCTCAGGAACTAAATAGTACTTTTTCCAAGATATAAATACAATCTCAAATCCACACCATATCCTCTTATTTACATGTGCGTTCAGTCTTCAATGTTAAAACCAACAAAATAATGAAGCTATACCATAAGTACAAAGAAAACAAAAACAATGCTTCAAGTCTCATGCCTAGATAAGTCAATCAAGAAACCTCTTCAAATATCCTCAGGATACAACAACACAACAAAGTCGATGGCTATACTTGTGTAATGCTAGCATTTAAATCACAGGTCTCTATACAAATTCAGATACAAAAGAACTGCATTATCAAATGGCAACAGTACTTAAAAAGTAACTCCAATGAAATACGTGCTGCTAAACAATCAATTATCATTAACACATCAAGTTCCGTGTTATCATTATAAGCTAAATAATCACTTATTTACACTCAACAAGATAACAGAAACAAGCTTGTGCAAGTAAACATACCTTAGAAGGTATCTCTTCAAAAGTGCAACACATCTAGCAACAACAGCTGGGCTGGAGCAGATGAAAGCCATATCAGCAGAAAAAGACTTAAATATTATAACAGCTATTATCCTAAAATATATGCTAAAAAAACAAAACACAAATTGAGCACGAAAAAATAAAGGGGAATGGCATGTATGCATATCAATGGAAATATAATATGTAAAGATGCAAAGGATATTAGTGAAGCAATAAAAGAAATGAAATCTAGAGATTATTTTGATCCAATTTTACATATAAAAATTCACATTTGACTTGCAAAACTGTGTGGAGGGTTTTAGTACGCTTTAGGAAATTTTATTCTAACAAACTGTTTTGTGTTTTTTGTAGATATTACAATTTTCACAATGATAATAGCAAATAATTTTCATATATGAAATACTAATATTAACATCTACATTAAAAGTATAGCATTGAGGTTAAAGCAGCATTAAGAAATTTTTACAACCAATTAGTATAGCATTAATACCATATCAATAGCTTAGAATAAGACAGTAAATTGTATATAAATTTCGATAGCATGTCTTCTTTATAGACTAAAATAAATCATGAACCATACACATAAAATACAGTTAAGCACAAAAAAATAAAATCTTAAATCAAATATCAGAAGGGAAAGATTAGAAAAAATAGCATCTAATGAAAGAATAAACCACATGGACATGGAAGAAACAAGCATTTCAAATCTTGATTTCACATGGCACAGCAAGTTCACAATGAGCACTTACATGTAAAAATGAAATATTACATTTACCTGCGCTCCCTTTCAGCAATTGTATGTTCTAAAATTACAATATAAGCCAGGTCAGTTGTTGCAGGTGAAGCCAAATAGTCCTGCATTTGTGAATTGAAGTTGTAAGATCAAAAATTAAATGGCATGCACATTAATTTAGTACATATTAGAATTTCTTTTATATGCTCATCAGTGTGATTTGAACCCATGGGCAACCAATACAAACTCGGTCACTTTAACACTCAAGCTATGGTAGGGCCAAGCAGAAAGCATATTACTCATGAAGAGTATCACAGAGGACTTTTAGATTGGATTAGATAAGCTTTTCTTTGGAGACAATCTTATGTTGCCAGCACACTTCAAGACCAAGGCTAATTGAGGGTCTCAAAGAAAGACTGAGAAAAGCAAAGTATGTTTTGTGTTGCACTATAGGAATAATATAAAAAAGAAAAAAAACACTGCATCAGCGATTCAATTAAGCATGTTCAAAGATTCCCTTTCCTCTTCCTTATTCCATCTATAGTTTAAACTAATGTTATTTCACTAAGTATAATAAGAGGAATAACAAAAGATGGAAAACTGGTGCTACCAATGACTCCTATCTATCCAATGCCAAAATTGCTTAAATTACCTCGTGTGATGGCTGGTTACTCAAAAATAACAAAGCAATCAAATAAGGCACCTGCCCTTGTCAATTACCACAAGGAGCAGAATTTTATTGTATTCTAACTTTCTAGATAAGAAACAGATGCCGTTTAAAGATTGAAAAAAAGAGATAGTATATAAAACAAAAAGAAAAAAAGAAAGAACATTTACGGAATGAGAAACTAATAATAATTGGAAGCCGAATCAACTACTATCTCCATGAAAAAACTAACTGATATTTAATTTTCAAAATTCTTTCACTGTCTAAAAAGAAATTCAATTTGACTAAAATGGCAACAAATTTCCACTAAAGAATTTTATTTACAGCCCTACAGCATGTTTAGCTGCCGAGAAAATGCATAAATAAGATAAATCGAAACAAATTCTTCAACGCTTTGTGTTATGCCCGGCACTCTAGGAACTAAGCAAGCTCCATTTACAAAGCCTAAATGCCAGTAATTTCCTTAATTTCCCTCAGTTTACCAACATTCCAATACAACAAAACCCAAATTTACAACCTGAACACCAAATTAAATCGTCAAAATAAAACCAATTCAAATCCTCTCAACTCAAAGATCCAATGGATCCAACAGAATGAAAAAGAACGAGGCAACGCAATTACTCACGCGAAGAGTTCTAGATGCTTCAGTGACAGCAACGGAGGGATTCCCATGATGAGAGGTAGCGCCGGCAGCAGCAGCGGAGGAAAGACAATCTGCGATGGCATGGCGAAGAGGCTCCGGCGGTTTCTTGAACGAAGAAGATCTCAACCTAGACACACTGCCAACGGCTCCGAGTTGGAACAGCTGTAGCCTAGAACTCCCAGGGCTGTTCCGTGACGGACTGAAAGTAGAAGACATGGAAATCGAAAGCGGTTAAGGTTAGTGCACGAAATCTCTATGCAACTAAGATTTATTTGTTCGTCAGCTTAGGGCTTGAAAAAGAAAAGGAACGCGTCGAAGTCAGTCTGTAGACGAAGAAGAAGAAGACTCCACATTTGAAGAAATCGAAACTGCAAGTGCTTTTTTTTTTTTTTTCTCTCTGTTGTGTGAAACAGGAAGTGAAAAAGCGAGAAAAAAGAAGTTTTTAGTTTAATTTTGGGTTAATATTCGATTAGATGGAGATGGAGAGATTAGATTAGATTAAGATTTGATTAATTAGTACTAATAATAATTATTGAAATTGGGTTTGAGGGAGTATTAGCTGTAAGTATATGCGTAGATTTATGGGGCTGCATTAGCTGGCAAGCGCTAAATTGTGTTTTTCGCTTTTTTAGAGAGTGGGAGAAGAATGTCAAACTTTGAAAGATAATTTGAGGATCCAATGGTAAATTTGGAGGAAAAAAAAAACTGAAAATTTTTTCTGCTTTTAACCGTAATTAACTGAGCAATTACAGTTTACAGTTATAGACGTTTGCTTACTGCAACATTAAAATTTATAGAAATATTGAATTAATAAAAAAATTAAAAAAACTAATCGTATTAAATTAGATTATGAGAATACATCAATCGCATAGTCCGCTG